ATATATAAATAAATAAAGTTAAATAAAATAATACTTTAAAAAAAAAAAAAAAAAAAAAAAAGAAACAAAATTTGGGAGCTTTAAGGAGCAAAGTTCCCAAGATGGAGCTTTTAAAAATAAATGACCAAGGCAGCCGGACAGCCACAGAGCCAGGTAGCGGGCTCCTAGTGGAAAGTGCTCCCTTTAGAGGAGAGCCCCGCGTGTCCAGCAGGCCCTGATCACCTGGAAGTCCACACAGTTACAGTGCATGGCCGTGGCTGAGATAAAATGACACAGGAAGGGGGCCAGCAGTTAGTGTGGTGGTTAAGGAGCTGGGTTCCACATGGCTGATCACAGTTCTAGTCCTGCACCTGGTGGCTTGAAAATCACAATAGATACATAAATAAATAATTTTTAAAAAAATGACACAGGTAGGGCGACAGGGTTGGCAGATGAGCCCTGGAGCAGTCCTGATGTGAATTTAGCCCCAAGTCATGGGTGCTTGGAACTTGGACCTATTGATTCTCATTGTGGACAGGGCCCAGGAATGTGTATTCTAAGCAACCCCCCCTCCCCAATCTTCATCAAGCAAACTCAGGAGAGGTTGGCTATGCCAGTGGGCTGGCCACCACCCTGACATTAGCCAATGAAGGACAGGGACATTGTCTCTAGGCTTCAGTCTCCTGGAAGGCTCTGGAGCCTCCCCTGCCACAGCACCGGCCAGTCTGAGCTGCTAGTCACCAACCCGCCTCCTCCCCTCTCCCCGACTGATCAGCAGACAGTTTGCTAAATACACCGAAGAAAAATAATTTATTTAATTTAAAATAGCAAGACTTTAGCTTCCTCTTTGAGGGTCTGGGTTTTTGTTATCATTTTGCACATGCTAAAACTCAGTTACTAGGCCATGACTGGAAGTTTATAAAAACAGCTTTTCTTGTCATAGACACATGAAGAATTTTGTTTGTACCCTGAGCCTAGGCCAAATAACCACCCTGATTTAAAAACAAAACAAAACAAAGCAGAATAAACAAAACAAAACCTCAGCAGCACAAAGAGGCAGAAAGCGGCTGGTGAACCTGAGGAACACAGACCAAGGTCCAGGAAGTGCCGACAGAGCACGGGAGAACGTTGGCCGGCTGCAGCACCGGGAAGGCCGCGGCCGCCCCTGGGTCACTGAGGGATGCAGGCGGGTAAACATTAACGACGCAAACAAGAGACAACGAAGCCGCCGGCTGGGCCAAGTGTCAAAGGGTCGTGGGCTCATCTTGCTCTGACCTGAGCAGCAGCTCCTCCTAGACTGTCAGCCCGTGCCTCCATCCTGCTCATGCCTCAGTGCACGCTACCCACTGGGCTCGGCTCGGTTCCTGGGTCTCCCAAGGAAGCCATTCATAGTCTTGAGGTGGGCGGGCCATGGGCCCAGGTTAAGGCACTTGGACAAGCCCCTCCCCTCACCTGCCCATATGGTCACTACCATTCACGGTGACCACTCCTCTGCAGTGCTGGGTGGGCAGCAGAGGAAGCTGGGATGGAAACAGCCACCGTGTAAATCTGAGAGGTTTTTACAGAGGCAGGCGGCACAACAGTGGCACTCAACAGTGGAACAAGAACTCGAGGGCTAGTCAGAGGTGTGGTGGTGAAGGTGACTGGATCTCACATGGCCAACTGTGCTGTTTGCGACCAGGACCCCACAGCTTGGAAAACAAGCTAGGTGTGTGCGCGTGCGTGTCCAAAATCCCGACAGGAGGGAGAGATGGAGAAAGGACTGCTGTGTGACCATGCCCCATGGGGAGGCCTTGTCATTGCAGCAGGTGTTCTCTGAGCTCCCTACTCCCCCTACAGGCCTTTCCTGACCATGGCCAATCTGGAAAGCAGAAATCTGGGTCACTCAGCTTGCTGTCTGTGTGAAGGCAGTAAGGGCTCCCTACCCCGCTGCTGAGCAGGGCTGTTCTAACATGGCTCCTCTGTGACCCAGTACTTCACCTGTCAATCATTTTCTCCCTTTGCAGCAAGCAAATTCCTTCATTTCTGCTCCATTCTAGAAGCTAAAGCGTGAGTCTTTATATTGGCTTTGTGCTAGGAGACCGGCTGTGCTGTCTTTAGGGGGACTTAGGGTTCCCTTACACAGGCCACTTGGAGCAGGAGACTGTCCTGTCAAGTGTGTTTCCGCACAGCAGCCTGGAGCTTTCTTTGAGTTCTAAGGGGACGTTCACCTCTTGCTGAGTTTCATGGAGAAATCTGTTTATAAAAGAAACCTAACATGAGCATTTTGAACTCAAGTCTTCTACATGACCATTCCTTTCCTGAGAGGGATTTTGTTTATGAGAATAAAACAGGAATTGATAGTACAGCATGGCTTTTGTCTTAATCCAGAACCACCTTACTAGGCTCAGAAAATCACCACAGCTTTGCAGAGTTCTGACGGAATCCGAGGGAAACCCCCACAGAGAAAACTGTACTCTCCAATGCCATGCCTCCCCATGCCTGGCCAAAAGCTTCTGTGACTTAAGGTCCATAGAATATAAATAGAGATTCAGGTGATTATTTTAATTTTCTTTTTCTTTTAACTATCGCCCATGGCCCATGTCACCACTTCCCCCAACCAACCACCCAAACTGGCTGAATCTTAAAACCTCCACCTTCAGGGAAGGATCTGTATTTGGACCATCCACTAACTCTCTGTTCACCTTAACTACAAAAAACGAAACTAGAAAGTGAATAACCCAGACTCCCTCGCGACTCACACTCATTTTGATCTTCCTAAGAACAGGATGATTCTAAGACCTGGAGAGACACAGGGTGGGGTGTCCTCAGGCTTCCCTGAGCTGGCCTTTCTCGCCCTGGTCCCAGTTCTGGTCCTGGTGGCGTGGACCTGTATTTTAGGTGGACGCAGAGCCTGTGCTGGAAACTCGGACAGCGAGAGTCCAGGAGGCCGCGAGGTCGGCTATCCCTGAGCAGTCGTGCTGGACTGTGCCCAGCCATGGCAGTCACCAGGCGACCCGGGCAAACCTGCAACCTGGTTAAAGTTTACCAGCTCCTTCGCTGACCAGCAAAGCTATTCAAGAAAATGGGGGCGCTCCAGGGAATCTGACAAACCGAGAATCTGCTCTGTGATCTCGGGTCGGGGACACACCTCTGGGACCCCCTGACATTAACTGCACAGAGAATGGCCGCCCAGGTGTGGGTCCCTTGAATTGTAAACAGTAAACTGGATTAGAGGCATCGACGTGACCATGTACTACTGTTTCCTGGACCTCACGGCTACTCTCACGCAGACGAATCCCTGCGGGTTCCAGGACATGGTGAGTGGAACATGCCACCTGAGGGTCAAGGAGGTAGAAGCTGAGCTGGTGGCTGTTCTGCTGCTGGGGCGGAGGACTCTGACAGTGGGCCTCCTGTGCCGCGGACACCTACTCCCACTCCCGGCAGCAGGGACCACAGAATGCTCTTGGGAAGGCAGCACCTCTGCACACAGCGGACAGGAGCTCAGGTGCTTGGAAGCTCCGGAGTCTGTCTAGATTCCTGAGATGCTCTTGTCTTGGAGGGTGCAGGAGCCCCGGGAGGGCCAGCTGGGCTCTGGGCGGAGGGCTGAGAAGAGCAGCAGCAGCAGCAGAGAGAGAAGAGGCGAGTTCGGACGGCATGGGTGCAGAGGACGAACATGATGCAGTTGGCACCGCCCTGGAACGTGTTCCCAATACCCTGTCAAGAGGAAAGAGGAGGCATGAGCGCAGGGCTAAAGCCGGTCTTAACAACACAAGTGGGGAGGCTGGAGACTGTTGTGTGCCCAACACTTTTCCCACCTACCCCCAAGAGCTGGTCTGGGTGCCCATGCCATGTGGGGTTTGTCTGTCTGTCTGTCTTTCTTTCTTTCTTTCTTTCTTTTTTTCTTTTTTCTTTTTCTTTTTTTTTTTTTTTTAGAGATTTTTGGGGCACACGCACTTGCTGGAGACAGTGAGAGAGAAAGTGAGAAACCACCCCCCCGGGAAGATTGGCCATGCTGCAGTTCCTTCTCCATTCTCCTGGAATCTTGGGCACACATGCACACGTGCCCAAGCCACTGGGTTCGGGACTCAAACCATAAATTGGCCATGTGGGAGTCCAGCGACGTAACCACTATGTCATCTGCTGACCCCAGTCATGTGGGCATGTGGCAGAGCTCCAGGCCTGACTCAGCAGAGTTAGTGGAGACCCGTGTCCAGGTCTTCTAGGTTGGGAAGAATCTAGGATCAGTCAACTCTCCTGGGGCTACTCCTCCACCTCTAAGCCAACTGACCCCTACCTTCTCTCCTCAATGCCCTGTCTCCAGCAGGGAGGAAGCTGTGGTGGGATTGTGGGCTGGGACGCTGGGATGCACCCCCTCTGCCAGGGAGGGAGTCTGGCCATGCAGTGCTGCAGGCAGCCAGGGCCAGAGAGGGTGACTTACGTGCAGAACGACCAGCACCGGTGCCTGCACTGCGGGGGAGTCACAGAGGGTCAGGACGAACCGCACGGTGCTCCAGACCCGCAGGCAGATGAAGATGAGCGGGATGAGGACCAGCTTCTTGTCAGCCACGGAGGTGCCGCGCTGCAGCCGGTGAGAATTACACAGGATGGGCCGGTACTCCGAGAGCGCCGCGTGCTGTGTGGGGCCCAGAACAGACGTGAGTGGAATGGGCACCCTCCCCCCACATCCACCCGTGGCTGCCTGTGTCTTCCCAGGGACTTAATCTGGCTCAGGAAGGGAGTGTCCAGCACCCTTTCCACCGTATGCTGAAGAGCCCCAGGTTCATAGCCCAGGCCTTCTCCAGAATCCCGACTCCGGGATCTACTTCGCTCTCCAGGGCTCTGCGTGGGTGTCTCAAAGGTGTCCTAAATGTCTCCCGCCCAAGACCAAATGCCTGACCTTGGCCCCAGGCCCCCTGCACGCTTTCTTTCTCAACTAATGGAAAACCTCATCCTTCCAGTTACCCAGCAGAAAACTGGGGAGTCGTTTCTGATGCCTCTCTTTTTTCTAGAGTCCACATCTGATCCACAGGCTAGGACTGTGGGTACCCCTTCAGAACAGGTCCAGGCCTGGACACTTGTGCCACCTCTGCCACCCCCGGGTCTCAGCAATGCCACCACTCCCCAGGACTGCTGCGACCGCTTCCTAACTGGGTCTCTCCTGCCCCCAGGCGGCCCCTCCTCCCCACTGCAGCCCATTTTCAGCACAGAAGCCTAAGTCAGGTCAGGTGATGCTTCACTCCGGCCCGGCCCGTCAGGTGGCTCCCACCACACAGGGTCGTGACACCCCAGGGCATCACACTAGTTCCCTCTTGTTCACTCTTGCCGGCCACACAGGCCTCCTAGTTCCCTCTTGCTGGCCACACAGGCCTCCTACTGTTCCCCAGCGTGCCATGCACACCCCTGCCCAGGGCCTGTGTGTGACCTGGCCCCTGTATCTGCAATGCTCCTCCCCATCTATCTGTGAGGCTCACTCCCTCGCCCTCTTCAGTGTTTGTCAAATGTCACCTCTGGTGGAGGTCTGCCCACCCTCTGTAAACTGCGCAGGCCCTTCCTAGGTAGTCCACCACACCCATCTTTGTCCGTGTGTTTCCAGAGTCCTTCTCATCCTCAAGCCTACGATGCCCCCCGTCCTGTTTATCACACTTACCGCTGTGATCACCCTCCTCTCTAGAATGCAAGCCCCCCAAGGTGGTCACACAGGGTGGGGGTGGGGGGACAGCAAAGAGAAAAGGTAAGCTCGAACCAGCCTGGGCTTCTCCACTCCTGAGAGGAAGGACGAGGCTCACTTCCAGATCAAAACTGAATTTGTGAAAGCAGATGAACCAGCTCACAACACATATACGGTCTGCTCTGGCCATGTGTCTGGGATGCCTACGGCCCAGGTGAGGGGAGGAGCCCACGGTGTACGGCCAGCACACGGTGCCCAGAATGGCCACATCCCTTGGCACCTCTGAGCATTCAAGCTTCTGCAGCTCACCTGCCTGGAGCACCTGCCTCCTCCTCTGGGGGCCTTCGCAGCAGCCCAGAGGGAGGGATTCCCTCCACTGCCCCTGGAAGCAGCAGCTCAGCCTGGGCTGGGCTGGACAGCCGGGCACAGGCTGGGCTCTGGCCTGCTCCTCTTGCTCCTTGGCCACTTATTTTTAGCTCTCCTTCCTTGCTTGAGGCAGGGAACGGTCTGTCCACCCCACTCTCTGCCTACTGTTACTCCCTTCTGAAAACACTTGCTGAGCTGTAAGATCACCCACTGTCAGTCAGGGGTCAGCCTGGCAGGGTCCCCAGATTTCCTATCTGCTGCAGGAAGGCAGGAAGAAGGACACACACAACAGGTCCCCTCAAAGGGCAGTCCTGGGCAGGGCCGGGAGGAGCCCCTGCCTTCCAGCCCCTGATAAGCTTTTTTCAGGGAGCACAGAACCTTCCCAGGGCAGTGGAAAAGAAAAGGAGGTGGGACCAGCAGTTAGCGTAATGGCTATGTTGCTGAACTCCCACGTAGTCAACCGCGGTTCGAGTCCTGGACCCGGTGGCTTAAACTCACACCAGGCACATGTGTGTGTGCCCAAGATCCCGAGAGGAGAATGGAGGAGAAGGGATTGTGGTGTGGTCATCTCCCCTGGGGGGTGATTTCTCGCTTTCTATCTCTCTCTGTCTCTCTAGTGAGAGCATGCACCCTATAGCAAAAACCTCTTCAAAAAAAAAAGAAGAGGAGGTGAGGAGCCTCACAGCCCAGGCAGGGGACCAGCTATAAGAGGATTTCAGAGCAGTGGGTCATCCTGAGACCAGTCCTAGCTAGGATTCTAGCCAAGCCAGAGGAGCGGAGTGGGCAATGGGGCAGCGTAGGAATCAGTGCCATTTCTGAGTTAAATGGAAAAAGAGGGGCCAATCTGTGGCCTGGTGGTGAAAGTGGCTGAATCCCACATGGCTGACTATGTGGTTCAAGTCCTGGACTCAACAGCTTGAGAAACACACTGGGCCTCAGTGCCTGTGTACCCAAAATCCTGAAAGGAGGGAGAGAGGGAGGAGACGGGATTGTGCTGCACCATCCTCCATGGGGCATGCTTTCTCACTTTCTTTGTCTCCCTCCAAAAAAGCAAAAACAAAAACACAAACACAAACTTTCTTAAGAAAAGGAGAACCGGAAGTCTTGACTTGAGAAGACACAAGTGGAGTACAGGGAGGGGATTAAATGTCCCAATGGCCACACACAGCTGCAAAAAGCATCCTAACTCAGAGAAGGCCAAGGAGCCACCTGCACATCCCGAAAGCTGGGACACAGCCTCCTACAACCGCAGCCTTGAGAACGCAGGGGACAAAAAGCGGCCCAGGGAAGCCCCCGCAACCCTGCCGTGTGAGAGCACTGGGCGCTTTCCCCGGGCTTGTCTGCGCCAGCCCCTTGTCATCCTTTCTCTTTCACAGCAATCACTTCCATGTCTGCTCTCTGGGGAGGGCAGGTCTATGGCTCCGTCCTCATGATCAGCTCCCACCACTGGACAGCATGGTCGTACTAGCAGACGCTCAACAACGCGGCAATGAGCGAGGGGCCCAGTGCATCACTGGAGCGTTCGGTCTGAGCCTTTCTGTAGCCGTTGGCCTGTGGCTAGCAGGACACCCCTGTTCTACCTTTGCAGAACTAGCAGTCAAGAACAAAGAATAATGAGGCCAAGTTGTCAGAGAAAAACTACTCTTTCCTGGACTTTCCGGCCAGCCTATTGATTTATGAGTTCCTGAAAAGCCTACCAGTTAGGACACAATTCTCATCACCAGGGCTAATCAGGTGAGTTACTGATATCACTGTACAAGTCCACAGAGCTCCCTTCCCAGGGGCATCTTTTAATTAAATCCAAGTTTAAGCAACCACCAGGGTCTGTCCACAAGGGGGCAGTAAAGGGCCGCGGTTGAGAACACACGGGCTCCTGCTCCTTGCTGGCTCTGACTGGGGCTCAGTCCTCAGAAGCCCAGGAGGTTGAACCACCCCTTAACCTGTTGGCCTGTTTCCTCCTCTACGACAGGACCAGGCTCCTGACAGGGCGGCGGGGTTGGCCAACCAGCAGATCCGTGATCCACGCTGTACAGAGTGCACCACCCTCGGTCCCTCTGGCCTGTCACTGCTCTGCCTCAAGAGAGGCAGCCAACCAGAGGCACAGGGCCAGGCCCTGAGGGCGCAGTGGCTGTGCAGAGCTCTGAGTTGGGGTCCCCAGAAGGCTAGGGCAGTGGGGGGACCTACCGCTCTGTTGATGTGCTTCCTGACCAGGAGGTACAGCACGGGCAGGGTGACATACGCCAGCATCTCCCACAGCTTCCCCGTCAGCAGCATCCAGAGGAGGCGGTCCTCGGCCTCCAGGTCGATCCAGCACCAGCCCACCGACACGTCCGAGGCATCATAGCCGATCTTCTTCAGGATGACAGCTGCCACCGTGATGGCCAGAGGAACCCCCCAGCTGAGGAAACAGGAGCCATTGAGACCAGGCTGAGGCGATGAGTGAAACACAGGCTGCAGCGATGAGGAACGCGCCTTAGAGAGGGGGGCCAGCACTCCCCAAAACCTAGATCATATTTCCCTAGTGTCCTTGGAAAATATAAAGGGGCAGTGTCACTCCAGAGCCGGCTTCTTTTTTTTCTTTTTTTTGCTATAGGGCGCGTGCGCTCGCCAGACAGACAGAGAGAGACAGAGACAGAAAGCGAGAAATCACCCCCCAGGGGGGATGGCCA